CCAGAAACGTCATACACTGCATTAGAAAGAAATAGGGGGATTAGTTGCCACTTTCCTTTTCCTCGCAAAGTCACTCGGGTGCGGCGACTTTAGTCTACTAAGCAAAGATACAAGAGCCCTACTGAGGAGCTAGCATAAAGGATTTCAGAATGCAATTCTGCTGCGCTATCATTCTCGAATAGTGACAACTGCTTTCTCCCCAACCCCCCTCTCATTAGCTCTGCCATTTCAATGCCACTTGGAACAATGGTACACGATGTACTGGGCAAGCATATGAAATCGTGGTTCCATGTGCTAATGCGTTTCTTCTTTGACTTAGAAGAGGCCTTGCTGAATTCTCCTGCTTTCCTCTTGAAGTTAAAGAGCCTATTGCGCTCCTTCACCACAGGGCTGCTTCGAGAAGTCGACCCAGCCGACCCAGAGGAAGATTGAAGGGGAAAGGCACTTGAAGTAGACGGAGCTGGAGTGGAATCCGTCGGAGTAGCTTCCGTTAAACTTTCAACTGCTTCTTGAAGCAGGGTTCGAGCTTTTTCTAGCCTATCCGCAGCCATAGGTGCTGAAATTATAGCAACAAGCAGCAAGCTATAGCTAGGCGCGAGGCTAGGCGACTCGTGCTGCCCCACATCACGTGTATCTGCGCATGCGCAATTGACCACGACCGTGACAATTTTACCGGACGGTTATTTTCTACCGTGATTTTCTATCGTTCAACGACGATTTTCTACCGTTCGACAGCGACAATTCTACCGTCGATCTATCGTTCAACGACGATTTTCTACCGTTCGACAGCGACAATTCTACCGTCGATCTATCGTTCAACGACGATTTTCTACCGTTCGTTAGTGACAATTCTACCGTCGACGATGATCTTTCACCCTTTTTATCCGCTATAATTATGGCGCGAATCACCCCCCATAGACGTCTTCGACATTGCTCAGACGTCGACGTTAGAACGTGAGGTCGACGTCTGTATACGGTCGAATTGTTACAAACGGCTTGCCATACGCTCGCCAATTATCAAGTAGGAGGCATGCATGGTAAAATAACATTCTGGATCGGAGAACGCCAGGGAAGCTGGTGAAACGGGCAGCTGTCGAGGTGAGTGTGCGTCAAATATCGCGCGAACGGTCGCTCTACTTAGATGCTAGATGCTTTGCGCGTGTGGAGAAGATTTGCTGGTCTGCCTGTATTGATGGTAGTTGAGTAGAATCGAGATTGCCGGTGAAGTGAGAGCAGCACACGCCCAGTGAATCCGTTCAGTGAAGGAGTCACTTATGTAGTGTAGCTAGTAGCTGAAATAAGTGGTGAGGGTTATGTACTGTCAAGTGCTTTTCACTTTGCTGTAGTAGTAACTAGTATTGAACACGCATGTGGCAAAAACTGAGGTAGTGTAGCTGCTGAAATAAAGAATAAAGTGGCGAGGGTTATGCACTTTCAAGTGCTTTTCATTTTGTGCACTTGTATATACTGACATACACTGAGCCAGAAAATGCCATAAAACTTAAGCGTTTTTGTAGTGTTCATCACAAAAAATTACCAGTCTATAAATAGGCAATAAAATAGCTCTAAGCGAATGTTTTGCCCACTTTCCCTTGTGTGGACAAGTCGCTGCCTTATCTCAAGTAATCCTCATTCCGAAACACACACACACACACATGCAATTGCAACACAAGTACATGCCCCTCAATGCAAACATTGTTGGCATATTATGTTCGTTGCGGTATGTGACACAGCTCAATTTGAATACCATCTTTCCTATTATCTAAACACGCAATAATATCTGGAGTACACTGTTAATGTACTAACCCACAGCCACATTCAAGGTGTATGTACATAATTTTTTGGCCCTCTGTGCCAACGTATAAATTACACATTATGAATAAGCCACTTTCTAGTCTTAAGAAAAGTAATTACATTATTATGTATTGGAAGAATGCACAGCATAAGCCACATTCTGGTCAGTAGGTATTGTGGCGGTGACATAGGCTGTGTTGGGTTCAGTTGGAATAACAGAGGATGGGGTGGTGGTTGGGGGAAGAACCACCTCTCATACACCACATTTCTGGTCTGGAGACCTGCTACAAGAGAAACACACACACAACTAGGAAGTAAGAACCTTTACCAATAATGTAGTCGGCCTGGTAGTAGATTCTTGCTTGAAACATCATTTACCTGCATCAGATGCATGGGTGAACTTGCTGTGGTTATGATACCGTCTGATCATCACCAGGACTACCACTGCTGAGCCACATACTAGAACACACATCACTACTGTGCCTGCAGGAGGATATATATTGCTGGTTTAGCTTTGGTGCTGTATAAACCCACCAATGGATATGGCAACAACTGGTCTTTGGGAATTGCTCTTTCCTTCTTCTTTCCCTCCGTCTGTTTTATCTGTAGCTCAATGAAATGTGACACTATAGTTTTCACAAAATGGTCTTTGGGTATGTAAACAGTTTGCATAACTTTCACTGTTGTGAAAGTTTCCCAAATAGCTACCTAAAGAGGTTCTAGTGATCTTACCTGAGTCACTGAATTTAGTATACACCAGTGGCTCTTCATCCAAACTCATAGCACCATTTTTCCAAAACAGTGCAAAGGTATAATTCTCAGGGCTGCTGTCCACAGTGATAGAGACAGGGAAATCAAAGAGTTGGGGAATGTCCACTACTGTCAGGAGAGGACTGCCATACTCTCTGTAGACCAGGACACATGAGGCCTCGGGATAGACCTCTGAGAATTCACAGTCTATCACTACAGTTGATCCTCTTCGGGATATGCTGGCACCCTTCAAATAGATGGAAGGTTTAACTGAGTCTGCATCCGTAAACAAAAAGCCATTAACATTGCTAAGAAGTTGCAATGGCTGACCTGAGTTAACCAATATCTGATTCTCCAATACCACAGCAGGCATGGTGTTGGGTAGTCCATTCTCCTCCAGGTCATATCCATACACAGTGTAAGTGGAGGGAGGGACAGGTACAGTGGAGACAGTGTCCTGAGACTGGGTTCTCAGGAGAGCTCTGAACATGTCAGGAGAGGAGGGAGGTCCCTGGAGGACCACCAGACATCCTGCAGCTCGTGAGCCACGCATGAACTCCCCTCTCACTAACACTCCTCCTCCTTCCTCTTCCACTGACAGACTCTGGACATCATAGGTTGCTGTATACACATGTATTAATTCATGGTATTGACTTATTCATTGGTTGTCTTACTGAATGTGTCATGGGATACATTCACAGGTCCAGCAGCTGTGAACACTTCAAAGAATATGCTAAAGTTTTTGTTTGCTGAGAGTGTGTATGTTGAAACTCGACGGTTTGAGGACAAAGAAATATTTTTTACGTCCATATCAGACACTCCATGAAGAATGTACACGTTTATCCTCTCAGTGTGTTCCTGCAAACAGCGGCTATACTACTGTATAAGACCATCATAGGGTTTATACTTACATAAGTAACTTCAGCAGCATCACAAACAGCTTTGATATGACTTCTGGTGAAAGTAGGCTTTCCTAACAGAGAAAATGGCTCATGCTCAAGGGACTAGGCTGGTCTGGTTGCAGGTTAAAGTTGACATACCAATAGTAATGTTGGGACTGCTCTCTCCCTGGCCAGCTCCATTGAGAGGGATGACAGAGAAGTTGTACACATGGCAAGGACTGAGGTAGTCAGGAGTGAAGGTGTAGTGTGTCTCGGTGATATTGATACAGTCAGTACAGAGGATGGCTGTTGGGTAGTTCTCATCTGTCACATTGTAGATGAGGACAGAGTACCAGATATCAGGATCAACACCAGTCACATTCAGAGATAATGGAGCACTCCACGAGATGGTCACTGAGCTGGCATTGCTGATGACACTCAGACCAGCTACTGCTGACAGTGGACCTGGATATCATGGTATATAAGCAGTGTCCTAACTCTTGTATATTTTAATAACTAATACCTTGAATGGTCAATGTGGCATTGTCACCCTCCACTAACGGGCCACCAAATATCCCTGAAACACACTGAACTCTAGTTCCATTGTACTGGGCTCTGGCTAGGATGGTCAGAGTGTGCACTGTAGTGCCTTCAGGAGTAGTGCTCTCTGAGACAACTAGATCACTACGTATTTCAGGTAAAAGGATTTCTCGCTGAGTTCCATTGACTCTCCATGATGTTATACCACCATTTGTCTCACATGTAAAAACTGCTGATTGGTTTAGAAAGATAGTTGTACTCTCGGGAGCATGGAGAATCTCTGGAGAAGAAATAGACAATAAACTTGATCAGATTATTAGAATATACACCTTGAGCCACGCAAGATAAAGTAAGCAACAGAGCACCAACTAAACATCTGGCAGAGAACGAGGTTTCCATTGCAATGCTCTCAATATTGACCTCCGTCGTAATGCGCGTCACCAGATCAGGAGATCACGCTTACGCTGAGTGCTGCGAAGCTAGTACTCTTCGCTTTAACTCGCTAGGAACATGGGGTGGGGTGGGGTTCCACCGCTTTTTTCGACGTACACGCGAAGAAATTTCAAAATAATTATCTTACTGTAGTTACAATCAGTTGGAGAAAAAGATTTGTTACAAAACACGACACTAAGGAAAGGTCATATCTGTAGCTGAATCTGTTGAACTATAAAACATCTCCGATCTTGGCTTGGCTTTGAATCAGCGCGGCGTTTCGTATCTGCCATACGGAACAGGGGCGGATTCCGGGGGGTCCGGGGGGGGCACAGGCCCCTTATAGCACGGTCAGGGGTGCTCCGCTCTGCAGACTAATCGCGCGCACTCTAATAGGCATGGCTCTCAAGCTCCTCCCCCCTGGAAACGGCGGGTCCTATATATACGTCGACCCTCACGCACCGCGTGGAGATGTGGAAGCGCTCGTCTCCCCTGAACCCGCCACGCTCAGAGAAGCGCAGGAAGTCTTGCCACGCTTTAGACTTGCATCAGTTCTTCAGGTAATACGTATGATAACTATTGATTCGCATGTTCAGGTCGTTGTTCACACAAACGTACATTGCAGAAGTAGAGCGGCTGCTACTGAATCAAGCCCCGCTGACTAGACTAAGACCCCACCCCTTCTTTTAAATCCTGGACCCGCCCCTGCTGGGAAAGAGATCGCCGTGGCTCAGCATCGCGTTACGCAATCTGACGTGTTTCCAACCCTAATTGCTCGGTCGTTTGCGTTCAGCACTCCGGTCGAAAGGACGAATTGTGAAAGAACACAGCTGGTCCGTCGTTTGGTTGTCGTCTTCTACTGACGGTGTCGAAAAAGAAAACCGTCACAGAGCCAGGTTGTATGTATATACTTAGTGACCAGGGCTAGCAAGGGTGATCTGGTACGGCACGGTTAAAATGGCGGCGCAGTGTTTTTTCTGGCTAGACTAGCCCCTCTCACAAGGACTGAGGAGTGTGAGGGACTAGTGCTAGCTATGAATGGCAGCCTTCTGCAAAGCCCAACGTACACGGCGCAACTTTATCTCACGCAACATGTTGCATGAGATAAAATTGCGCCGTGTATGTTGGGCTTTAATATGTCTGTGACCGATTCGCCTAAAGCCCAACATACACAGCGCAATTTTATCTCATGCAACATGTTACCGCCAAAATTAGCGAATGGATAGGAGGTGGTAATTTTCATCAAGACGTGGTGGTGTTGTGACGTGAGAGGTGGTACTTGCGATGGAGGGGTGGTGCGCGTTACGCGAGATGGGTGGCGTTTTTGACGGAGGGGTGGTGTGGTTTGAGAGGTAGTGTGCATTTTTTAAGGTGGCGTGCGTGTCATGAAAGGTGGTGCTTTTCGCGGAGTAGTATATACTTTTTTTACTGAGAGATGGTGCTTTATGCTGAGGGGTGGTGCGGTACTTACATGCGCGCATGTGCATACAGACGTGGCGACTACGCTGTGGCATACAGCGACGCTGTCAAGCCGCTCCTGCTAACTTACGGTGACCAGGTACAGGCATGACCGATGTTTCGCAGGGCGAGCTACACAGCGTCGCTGTGCGCCGCGGGTAGCTGCCACGTGCCAAGTTGGTAGAGTTACGGCATGCATAAACAGTGTAAACCAGGAGCCGCTGTACATTGTACCTTAGCAGAGCCTTTTATCCATGAGATGTATGCAGTGTGACCAGCAGGTGTAGTTGTCATCTATGCTTGTGTGTACTCATCACACAAAAGTCAACTACTCTATAATTATGTACAATGCTGTGTCATAAATACCAGGAGGACCCAACAGAGTTAGAACTTTTAAGGGTTTTTTGTGGCACAGCAGGAATACGTTTGTGAGGCAAAGATGTACTACAGCATTAGGGCTAGGGTTTGAGTATCAGCTAATGCTGAGAGGCAAGGTCGGTAGGTGTGGCTCTCGGAATCCTGCTCCTATATTATTACCTGTGTGCATGTGTGGGAGAGAGTGTCAAATATCGTTACAATTGCAACTATTAGTATGTCAGTATTCTGACTGTACAAAGATACTTCTCCAGCCGGGTGCCCAGACCCCGCCTTTGCTTTTACCCGAGACTGCATAATTACCAGGGTTTGTTTAACAATTCCTCTACAGCCTCAAGAGCCAGTTATTGCTCAAGTCATGGCTCCAAGTAAGTAATTAACTTTCAGCTTTAAATTGCAGTGAGTGTTACCATACTTGGTCTGTGTGTGCGTGTGTGTGTTTTTTTGTGTCTCTGGTACCACTAATTAATTCCCACAAGAAGAAACAATTTACACAACTGTACAGTTGGCTCACTTGGGTGAAATTGCTTAACTAGTCATGTACAATTAATTTTCTTCCTTATTACCCGTTGCTAGGTCGTTGCTATGTTTATTTTATTCCTTGTCACACGTTTCTCATGTGTAAACTCTATGTATTTCATTCCTTGTGCTAGCTCATCAGAAATGTACTGTATTTATTGGGTATTGCTTGTGCTAGCTCATCAGAACTGTACTGTATTTATTGGGTATTGCTTGTGCTAGCTCATCCGACTGTACTGTATTTATTGGTATTGCTTGTGCTAGCTCATCAGAACTGTACTGTATTTATTGGGTATTGCTTGTGCTAGCTCATCCAGAACTGTACTGTATTTATTGGGTATTGCTTGTGCTAGCTCATCAGAACTGTACTGTATTTATTTGGGTATTGCTTGTGCTAGCTCATCCAGAACTGTACTGTTATTGGGTATTGCTTGTGCTAGCTCATCGAACGGTACTGTATTTAGTGGGTATTGCTGTGCTAGCTCTCAGACTGTACTGTCTATTATTGGTATCGCTGTGCTAGCTCACAGAACTGTACTGATTTATTGGTAATTGGGTATTGCTTGTGCTAGCTCATCAGAACTGTACTGTATTTATTGGGTATTGCTTGTGCTAGCTCACAGAACTGTACTGTATTTATCTGTACTGTATTTATTGGGTATTGCTTGTGCTAGCTCATCGGAACTGTACTGTATTTATTGGGTATTGCTTGTACTAGCTGATCAGAACTGTACTGTATTTATTGGGTATTGCTTGTACTAGCTGATCAGAACTGTACTGTATTTATTGGGTATTGCTTGTGCTAGCTCATCGGAACTGTACTGTATTTTATTGGGTATTGCTTGTGCTAGCTCATCAGAACTGTACTGTATTTATTGCTGTGTGTTTGGGGGGCCTTTCTAGTCTAGTTGTATCTGATTGTACGATCTCTAGTGGTTCAAGATCACACTATGTCGGATGTTCTTGTGTTAAGTTACAGCTTATAGCTTGACAAACCAAGTGAAGTTTACTGCTTAACTTTAATATAATCATGAGCCCCAGCCCCTCCCCCCTTGTCACATGTTTTTCATGCGTATAAGGAATCATACTCTATGTATTTCATTCCTTGTGCTAGCTCATCAGAGTTGTACTGTATTCATGTGTTATGCATTTCTGGGGGCTTTCTAGTCTAGTTATCTGATTGCACAGTCACCCACAGAGTGGTTCAAGATCACACTATTATCAGTTATGGTTTGGTTCACTTGGCAAAAATTTCTTACAGTTGGAGGTGAAGTTCTGGTGCTGCTTCTACTATCAGCCCACTGTTTTGCACAAGGTAATTTTTAATCCCCAATAATTGTTTTTCTATCAGCTTGGGACCAAATCTAATTGGCAACTATATAAGTGTAGTGCCAATGAGTGACCAGGTATCTACATTTGCAGTCATTACATCATAATTTGCGTGGTAATATCTAACCATCCAGTACGACTCATATATAACCCATTGGGATGTCACATATCTAAATCATGTATATACACTCCAACGTTTATGTTTCGAGTTTTCATTCTGTCCAGAGATTGTCCCTTCTCCCGAAGAGTACCACTGGTCCTCTCTAAAACCCATCAGCAGTTTTTTTAATGTGAGACCAGGATTGTATAACTTCGTGGACTACTCAATGGAAACACAGCGAGAAACCTTTTACCTTAAATTCGTAGTGATCTAGTTTGTCTCAAAATAAAAGCAGTGCCTTACTCATCAAGCTCACTACAGTGCCAATCTGACATCCTACGCCAGAGCACAGTACAATGACTAGAGTTCAAGTGTGTTTCAGGATATTTGGTGCTCTGTAGTGGAAGTGACAGCCACGTTTGACCATTTCACGGTATACACCTCAAACTGTTTGCTACCCACCACCTGTTTCACTTTCTGCGTGTCTTTGTTATCCTCAATTCATAGGCATTCATGGGTTACAATACTTGTCTTGTGTTTGTGTATTTGTTATCGATTTGCCTGCAGTCTATGATACGAGGTTGTCAATTGTAAATGCATTATTACTACTTTTTGC